AGAATTTTATAGAATGATATTCGAATTCGATTTTAATATAGTAATTAAAAGTATAATAAGTAATGTTTTTATAAAAAAACGAATCTCTTTTGTTATCTGTATTGACTCTAAGTCATTTTACAATTGTTTTACCAAGTTAGATACAATCTAGGAGAAAAGATTAATAATTAATTTAATAGCCCTTAAATAATTATACGAATGATATGAGATTGTGAAGATTAAGTGGATTGATAGAAAATTTAACCCTACTGATGTGATAACAAAATCTAAGGCAGAAAAAGCACTCAAAGAACTAATCGATAACAATACTATCAAGATCAAGATTATAGAATGGGTTGAAAGATATTAGAGAGAAAGGGATTAATAGAATATAAAGAGGACTACTAAAAACGAATTTATTCGATTTTTAGATAATTGCTAATGTCTGGATATCACTCATTTAGCTGTAGTAAGTAATAGAGCTAAGGGTTAGGGCAATAAGCGAGGCTTTGATCACCACGGAGTGTATATCTTTTAATATTAGTATCTCTATAGTTTAGTTCCTTAAGGCAATATAAATACGTGAAACACGATAGTACTATTAACACTTCATCACTACCACGGTGATATCAACAATTTCAATATAGGATTTTCTTTTGTTTTGATAGTGAAATAGAAATATAAATTCTATTCATAATTTCAATATAATCTTTGAAATATAGAAAATATTTCGAATTTTAGAATATTTTGAGATATAGAGATATAGAGATAATAGAAGATTATATAATAAATTATCGTATATAGAAGGAAAAAATATTTTATAACTTTATAATAGATTTTATTAATAATCTAAATATTTCATTGAAATCGTTTTATAAATCAGTATATCGAAAGATTAGTAATAATTATATAAAGGAATATACCAAATTATTCTATAATAGATATACATCGAATATTTATTATATTTATTATTTTAATCAACTAATCTTCTAATAATAAAAACCTAGTTTAGAAGATCTCTAGATTGTTTTTGATCCTTTCAGAATATTCAAAGACTAATTCATATATTTATTAAACACTAGATTTTTTAGAGATATATTATAAATATCTATAGAAGTTATATTTATAATAAATAATGATTATAATTATAGATAGTACTAAAATCATTATCAAAAACTTTCTATTACATTTTTTCCTCTTTTCAATAATAATAACATTATAATTATAGGATTAAATCAAATTATTAGATAATATTAAGAAACTAGAGTGGATAGATTAGTAAAAGTATATATTCTTCAATTTTTATATTTCTCAAATATAGCTTTTTCAAATATATTTTATTTATATGGTATATTTATAAATATGTAGATTCGTATATATTCTTCAATTTGAATTAAACAGATTTTCGAAAAATATACATTTTTATTTATATAATAGAGTATGAAAAATTATTTTGGTGGTACACTTTTGCGTATACTACCGAGCCAAACAGGCCCTAAAATACATGGTGATCTCAGCCACACCTTCCACTTTTTATAGAGCACGCAGCCTTGCGCGCAGCCTCACTTTGTTTTAGCGGCAATCAATTGCTCGAGCTTGTCATCACAAAAGTTCTAGAATTACTTAGTACCAATAATACCCTTCACATATTCACCCTAACACGAATCAGACCACATTCTTTAATACATGCGACAGGATGTCTGAAAGGGGTCAACAAAGAGGAGGTGGTCGTGGAGGTGGCAGAGGTTATGGTGAACACAGAGGGGGCAGGGGAGGTGGTAGAGGAGGACATGGTGGTGGCGGGGGGAATTTCGAGAAACCAAAGAAGGAGAATATCTTGGATTTAGGGAAGTACATGGATAAGCAGATCACAGTCAAGTTCAATGGTGGTAGGGAGGGTATGTTACTATCTCTTAGGATAAATCAAACAGAATACTAATATGAACACTCTTAGTTAAAGGCACTTTGAAGGGTTATGATGCTCTGATGAATTTAGTTTTGGATGATGTGGAGGAAAAGCTGACTGGTAAAGTCACTTTATATTCCACTAATCCACTTTACTGACCCGATCGTTTTCGCAGATGAAGAAGGAAAGGAAGCATGGAGATCGTTGGGTTTAGTAGTTGCAAGAGGAACCTTACTCATTGGAATAAGCCCAGTCGATGGCAGCGAAGAAATCGCGAATCCTTTCGTACAACAAGAAGAATGAGGAAATAGAGGATATGGGATCATTTAATTGGGAATCTATATGGTCAACTCGAAGCACATGCGCTCAATGCGATAACCAATACGCCGAACGCCAACCTCAATAGTTTACAACGCACCACCTCACATGGCGGATGCAGACATGATATAAGTATGCCAATGAGGCAAAATATACTTCAACAGGTAATACAATCGAGTTGAATAAATTAATGAGTTGATGGGAGTTCGTCTATCGAATGGGCTGGGTAAGGGGTCAAACATCTATACATTTTTACAGAACCAACGGTTCTTCTATCTTCGTACCCAATGCAAGTGCAGTTGAGGTCTAGTGGCAGTTCCGATGATTGTTCTTTTGTCATACCTTGTCCGGAAGGAAACTGATGTGATGCCGTGACATTTATTGCACTTTGGTCCACCGCAAATTCCAGTCACTCATATGTACATCGGTCAAAGCTTGAAGCTTGTCAAGCGCAAAGAGGAATTTAGTAGTCTTCAGACTGTACAGATAAATTTCTAGAGCTGCACATTGAAGCTAATCCATGTATAGATTTGTGCAGAGTTTCTCTCTATCCGAAAGACAGTAAAGTACTGTAAACATTCCAATACTCTTTGCTCCTTTCAACCATGTGGAATGAGAACAATTTTGCCCTACATTATATCATTACTCTACATACGAGTATATATGTACATGTTACATTTCGCCTCAGAAGTCGGGGTACAAGATACGAAACACTCTCCAAACTTTTGACTGGGTCATCAATGCATTTGTATTCTGCATAATGCGATGTGTACAAACTGGAATATGATTCGCCAGGTCCCCTATCATTTGTCCCACCATCCCTGGTCGATCATCTGTCAATTCCCATTATATATATCCACAATCAGATGAAAACAAGTCATAGCATGAATCCTACCTTCATGCCATTCCTAGCTGATGATGTGGAATTTAGTCCAAATATCGGTAGCAAGAAGATTTCCAGGCCAACGGCATTTTCATACCATGTTATTAGCCCGCCCTGGAATGTGGGAAGTAATACTCCCATTTATTAACAACTCACATACTATCCTTTGTGAAAAATGCGCAATCCATATAAACTCTCTGTTGATGATTAGTTTTCCCATTCATAAACATCATTGTTATCGGAGCAACTTCAATCAATTTTAATCAGCCCCGAGAAGCCTCCTATCTTTATAACCGCCGGTGTTTAAATATCTGCCAACATCCATCCCAAAATATACATCAAGGGGCAACAAAGATATGGCGACTCCAAAGAAATATACAAAGGCTATCACGCAAGTCCCCTTAGCTTTAACATACGAACCCAAAATATTACCCCCGCTTCAGCTCCTCCCGCAAACATCCAAGACTCCTATCCCCATTAATCAAACTACCGCTCATAAACTGGCATCTTTGCTTCAAGAAGTTGCATCCATAATGGACACAATTACCGGAGAAAAGATGATGTGCGGCGAGGAGTTGGATGGTTTGGAGGGAGATGTACTTGGTGGATTGACAGAAATGGTATTAATCATGGAAGAGGAAGTCGAGGAAATGGTTCAGTTGGCTGATGCGGTAGAAGAATATGTGGAAGAGTTGGAGTTAGCAGAATTAGATGAGTGGGTTGCTGCTCTAGCTACCTCAAAGGACAGTGATGGAACTAATGTAGGAGAGGGGTGTTGGACGTCTCAGGGTAATGAAGCAAAGGGGTGGGGAATGGAGCAGGAAAGTATAGCACTAGGGGATGGCAAAGAGAGCATTAGGATTGGATTAGACGACAAGGTAATAAGACATATAAGCTTAGGCGGATTGCTGGAAGAACTCGAGGAAGATGTTTTAGGATGGAAAGTGAGGGGATTGTCCGTAAACTCTGACAACTATGGATCTGGCGAACCATCAGAGGTTGTTATTGAAGCAGGAGTTTCTGTGCCAATCACCAACTACAGGAAGGATGAAGTAGTCAGAAAAACCGTCATTTCGCTATCTCCGAGGAAGAAAGATATGGAAACGAAATTTAGAGACTCTGGATTAGGACTCATGAGCCCTGCTGGACTTATGAGAAGTCCAATCAAGAAGGAACCTAAAGTTGTTATGAAGTCAAGTCCAATTGGATTGAGAACTGGCCTTGGTTCCATCAGGAGGAAGAAAACTGTCAAGAAGCCGCAGTGGGTTTGAATGCTCGAACTTGATGAATGTATAACAATGAGGAACAAAATCACTATGTTCTAATGTGCATTGCTTCGGACTTCCAATAGGTATCTGATTTATTTAACAACAAAAACAAACTTATGCATGGTATCCTTTTCATCTCTCATCTATAATTCTAAATCTCAAGATAGCCAACGCAAGATTATACATGTAGGCTCGATGCTGGTTCTCAATGCTCATAATAATGAGCCATTTCCAATCCTGCCCTTTTGAACCCACACTTGACGTAGAACCCCTCGTTGGCCTCACTACAGTCTAATATGCTTTTGTAACAACCAATCTTCTCCGCGATGAAATCTAGAGCTTGAATCATCTTCAAGCCGAGTTTCTGTCCTTGTTGATCCTTTGCTACAGCAATGTCTTCGATGTGACCTACGAGACCGAGGTTGTGGATGCTTTCAACTCCGTCAGTATCCATTGCTCCATGAGTAAAACCTTTGCAGGTTTGAATGTACTCACAACTTTCTTTCCACAATCAACGCACCAGTTGCGACGACTTTCCCTTGATCCTCAATAACCAATAGATAATAACCTCCCTTTCCTTGACTGTTGTACCAATCGTATCGCTCATTCCATTGCTCTTCGGTGATATCGCCAACGACAGTAAGAACTCGCAAAACATCTAGGAATCCATGGGCATAGTCGGACTTTTGTAGCGCGCGGAGAGTATATGATTCGGGGAGGGATTTGGCAACTTCAGGAGAGACTAGCTCAAGTCCGAAGAGACCTTCTGTAACTCCATTCGTAGATGCCATTTTGTGCCTTTGTGGGATTCTAGGGAGGGAGGGATGATAAAGCGACTTGGGAGTAGTAGAAGTGATTATAGAGTCGACTGAAGCTTGCGTGATGTCTTATATTGAGTGGAAAACCAGGGAGCGCGGCTCGCCCCTTTTGATGTCAATGAGATGAGATCTACAAGAATCCCCTCGTAATTATTAGCGGCAGTACAGATCAAAGTAAAATTCTAGTTATGGAAGCTCACGGTGAGCAATGTACTGAGTCAACGATAAAAGAGTGTGTAGATTTGGTTGGAAGAGAAGTATTCTGACTGCTTTGTACACAGCTGAAGCAGCATATAAATTATAATAAATATTGATTGATGTTATCAATGGCCGGGCTTACCAAACTTCAGCCTCGCCGACAACTACTACCTTTCATCATAAATTACACAGTATTGTTATATAAATTATAAAGAGACCAGAAACCTGACTTGAACTAGAAGTCTGTAAGTATTTAAAAAAAAAGATTGGAAGGGATCAATGATTATTTTATGTATGGGGCCTCTTTTCCCCAGTGGGATGGGATGGGATGAGATGTAATGGGGGCGGATTATCGGAGACAACTCTATTAACCTTCTTGTAATAAAGAATAAGAATATAAATACAAAAACAAAAACAAATATTTTCATTTAGTTTCATTCAAAACAATGAAAGATCATAATCTAACTCCCTTTTGTTGTTCCGGGTGGAATACACGGAAGGAAGGGATTATCAATCACGTGAAACATTTCTTTCAATTTTTGAAAATCAACCGAGGAAAAGTAAAATCGGCGGAGGGTTTGACTCCGCTCTCTCCCTTCCTAAAACTAACCTCAAGAATTGTTTACCAACGAACCTTCAAACACATCCTTGGTTTTCTGTGATTCCTGGATGTCCAGCTTTATGTGGAATATTGCAAATAACCACATGCTCATTCCATTCTTTGTTCTGAACGTATTTTCTACTCTCTCTTGATAGAAAGCTCCGCGCTCTCCTCCTTCTCCACATTTCCCTTCCGCCCATCTTCTACCTTCAACCTTCACGTACACATTATCTATCTTCTGGTTGGATTTCGCCATCTCAAGCAATCATCTTCCTACCGTAGTCATGGAGCCCATAACGGAACCTCAAGGCGAAAAGCGAAAACGTAGCCCGGAAAGTTCTGGAAGTCAAGGTCATGGACGGATAGCACAAGCCCCTCGGCTGGGCGAGAATGCGACTCCGACCGCTGCAGCGCAGATTAATTACTTAGTCAAAGCGAGAAATGATAGGCTAAAATTGGTTGAGGGAGACTCTGAGACGTTCGGAGACGTTTTGGGCACGTTGGATGAGTACGAAGGTGTGTATAAATATCACGTGCATCGTCTCTCGTTCGGTGGAGGGGGGAAGGGGGCGGGGTTCTGCTCACCTGGGAGCATTCAAGGAATATGATAGCTGACTTAAGTAGGTGTTCTTTCACGACGCGAAAGTCTGGCATCCAATCTCGGCGCGAAACTAGTCGGTCCTCTACTTCTTAAGTCATTCGAAAAGCTTTTTGACGGCCCAATCAAAGTCATTCAAAGTTCCTATGCTCTCGAACAAACGCCAATCACATGGTTAGAGATTGTCTCTTTTGCCCGTAGCAATCCAGCGGACTTCATACTCAGTGATACGTTACATTGTTTGAAAGTCTGTCGATTCTGGATCAATGGAGGTCAAGTCGAAATATCCGAAGACGATTATCGATTGATCATGTCAGGTGCTCCGGAAAGAATGATCCCTAGTCAACCCATGCCTGAAGATGAAACCTCTGAGCTTGGCACCCTACTCATTCTCGAGAGTCGACTTAGTATGTTGATCAAAAAGGCTGATGCCGTTGCTAGTAAAGCAAGACAACTCAACTACCACATGAAAGGAAGAAAGAATGCTATCATGGCGAAGAAATCTCCCGATCAACCTTCCGAATCTCCTCTCCCATTCGCATCCAAGCCATTTTCTGCCATCAATCAAAGCCGATCACCTGCTCCGCTCAATGGCGAGACTGCCAAATTGCAGCAAGACCTGTTGGAACAATTTCATAGCCCAAATCGCCGTCAATCTTTGCCATCTCAACCAAGATCAAAGCAGCCTCGCCCCAACAATTCTGACCATTCCAACTTCCATTCCTTCAATGGTGCACATCCAAGTTCTGATCAACAACGAGTATCACAACCACCATCTAATTCTGATGACGGGATCGAAGGCCAATATCGGGTTTTGATGGCTGCCAGAATTGAGAAGTTACACAAAGGAGATCCAATTACACCACCATGCGACCGATGCAGACGATTACGATTCACATGCACCAAACATATGACCGCTTGTGGTGCGTGCACAAAGAAGCATGCTAAATGTTCTTGGAAGGATGTACAAGATGGAGAACTTGAAGCCACGGCCTCTACTCTGACACAACGAGATTCTCCGGCTGCTTCAGAAGATGGATTGTTAATTGTCGATAAGAAGCATACACCAGAACGATCAAACTTGGCAAGTACCAGCGGTGGTGTTACCACCATTGGAGCAAGGGGGTCGATTGGACATGTCCCAGTAAGCTTTTCGTACCCCACCATGTGCTACATGAAAGTTTCTTGTTTCTATTCATCCCCTAAACTTGGTAAGCAATCGCTGACTTCCCGATGTTGTAGGTTCATACAGCACGTATGTCGATGCTTTCTGGTCTGGAAGCTGAATTACGCCCTCGTAACACCACGAGTACCAACAATCAACCATCCACCATCGCTGCCACCGTACAAGTCAGATCACCGCAGTTAAAGCCAGAGCAAGGAAGAAGGGTATCTGCTGAACATACCTTATTGGCACAAATGGCTTCAGCTGCTGCTGCTAGCAACCAACAAGCGTGAGATGTCACAGACAGAAATCGCAGAACATGAGATTTGAATACACTAAATGTCAGAGCGAAGATTGAATGACGAGGTGAACTGTTACCGCATTTTAGCATCGTCTTGAATCTCTGATGGCTGTCGGAATTGATGGGTTGTTTTTCCTTGGGAGTAACATATGGATAATTCTCTTAATAATGCATTCTGGAGTTGTGCTCTTGGGTGTGTTGATTGGTGATGAGAGGTGTTTGGAGTCACAAATGTAATGGAAAGAATACTGCGGATCTTAAGGTTAGGTGAGGTTAGGTTAGGTTACGAGAAGATTGTAAAGAGCTGAAGGCTTGATTCAGTTACTATGGATGTCTTGGGTTTCATCTAGGTGGTTGGCATATCAGTGGCTCAAATTCGATTGTTTAATGTTCGTGTGATATCCTGCTAATATATTAGTTGATGATGTTCATCTCTTTTTCTATCAAATATAATTTGCTTATCGTACTGCGTGGCTCCTATTTTACAAATAAAAAATTTCCTGGCAATACAACCTATTTTCCTCCTCTCGGTTATCATTATATCTGACCCGCCATATTCATATCGACTACTTAATGCTAGACTTTGCGTGGTACAGGGATGCATTAGCATGACAGATAGATATTTGGTCGCGTCATCACTCTTCACAGCCTGAGTTAACATCTTGTTGACTGAGACATCATTGAGTGATCTATACGGAATCTTACCATAAAAGCATCCTTTGAAAGACCCTCATTTGTGGTAAGGTCTAGGGATTAGATTCACAATCCTTCATATATCAGAATATAGAGTTGTGTTTAGAAAACCTCGAACAGACTGCTATACTCCAACTCGTTTCCTAACTTTCCTTTCATGCTTATCAAACCAAATTCTATGACATTACACCTATCTTATCGAGAATTCATACTCGATCCATTGCAGTGCACTCGCAATATAAACAACAATTTGGTATCGAACTTATACACATAAATATCATATATTGAACTAAATACCAAATACCCCCTAGATCGTGAAACCAGCGCTATTAAATTGTCTAGGCTCACCAGCCGCCTCAAATGTACCATTCGCTAGTCGTCTTAAAGCCTGAGCCGTCGTACTGCCCACTGCCGTAAAAGATATCGTCGCCCCGATACTTTCAAAAAATGCAGTAGTCTCATTACTATATCCTTCAATTCCAAAGGTTTCAGATCCATATTCAAAGTATACATTATTTGGGGACAATTGATCATGTAATCTAGGTTGTCGCAAACTTTCGGCTGAAGTCATGTTTTGGTCGAGCACGTGCCATAGATGTTGAATGACTTCTGTGATGATGCGGGAGCCACCCGCGGAGGCATGAGCAATATACACGGTACCATTGGGGTATTCGACGATAGTGGGGGAGATAGAGGAGAGAGGTCTTTTGAATGGCTTGATGAAGTTGACGGGCGCGGGGGAGTAGCCGAATGCATTGGTTGTGTTAGGGATGGAGAAATCTGCATGATAAATCAGTACATACCGTAAGCCTCAAAGATAGCATAGGGATCTTTACCATTCATTTCATTATTCATGATGACACCAGTTTCTGGAACCATGAGCTTACTTCCAAACAGAGTATTGACTGTAGATGTCATAGCGATCGTGAGACCACTCTTGTCAGCAGCGACAGTAGCCGATGTTCCATCGTCGGTAAGAATATCATACATTGAAGGATCATAAGCGGACACGTTCAAAGTGTGATACTTCTCAATTTCCGATCGAACTTCAGCGGCTGTGGTTTCTGATACCATTTTCTCTTGATAATCTGTCAGGTTTGAAAAGAACGATGGATCACCCAACAAAGTTCTTTGCCCGTATGCAAATCGCATTCCCTCATCTAAGTAATGCGTCGAGAAGTTGAGCTGACTTGGACTCGACATATCATAACCCTCGACAATTTTCAAAACACTGCAAACGACAGCACCACTAGATGGCGCAGTGCCGCTGTAAACTTTGAAGCCTCGGTAGGTGATGTTTGACGGGATTCTAGACTCAATGGTGTAATTCTTTAGATCCGAAAGTGCCATCGTCCCATTGGATAGTTGGAGCGTAGTGATTGTCGCGTTTGCAATGGCTCCTGTGTAGAATGCATCCGGTCCAAAATCGGCGATAGTTTCAAGCGTGTTGGCATATCGTTTCCTGGTTATCAAGTCACCCAGCTTCACTCTAGTCCCATTGGGGGCAAAGTCAATTGCCCACGTCTCGTCAAACGTCAGAAAGTCATAGGAAGAGGTAGCGGAGGCCATGTAGCGGAATAAGTCGGCGGTGACATTGAAGCCAAAGCGGGCGACTTGAATAGAAGGTTGCACTACCTGTTTCCAAGGCAATGATCCGTAGTTTTTGTGAATGTACTCAAGACCTCGTAACTCCCCGGGTACACCGCTTGCCAAACCACCGCTCAAGGAGTAACTGGAGTTTGAGAGAGGAGGCGAGTACATGAGTTCGAAAGCGGCTCCGGGAGCCGTTTCACGAAAATCAACAAACTCGTAACTTCCATTGGCCGATCGAACAGTCGCAAAACCACCACCTCCCAAACCGGAATGGTACATGCCAACCACTCCCACACAAAATTGTACGGCGACGATCTTGTAAAAGCGTCAGCAAAACCGAAAGAAAACTGCAGGAGTTGTGTGTAAGCGGCGGACTCACAGCATCAGCGGCATTTCCTCCAACTTTCAGGATATCAATTCCAATGTTAGAGCAGATAGAACTTTCACTAGCAACAGCTCCATTCTTTCCATCGCCACATGTCGTCGAATTCAGTGGTATCGATACAGCTTTCGTAATAGGCAAGGCAGCTATGGCAAAACTAAGAGCTTGAAAAAGAGTAGGGAACAACATCTTGAGACAAGAAGTACAAAATGAGGAGGGAGACAATAATCCCTTATATAAACCATGTTAATTGATAAAGACAGGAAAATCTGACACCGCATTACATGTTGATGGTATTCACTGATTGTCGGAAATTTTGATGGAATCTCGTACCTAGGTATTGAAAGTCTAATTCATGTTTGATTATTACCCCCAAGACAGGGGTTTTCCGAAATGGCGGGGAAACGGTAACGGGATTAACCGAATAAGGAAGCTCTAAGCTCGAGTGGGGTCACTTCGGATTGGGATGAATCCATATATTTATTAGCAATTCATTGGTGGGGCGTATTGATAGGCGTTCTGGTGAATACTCCGTAGATATGATGATAACTTTCCCCTGGCAACGGCGCGATATCAGCTTCGTGATATTTCCGAACCTCGGAACCTCAGTTATTCACAAATGGGATGATACCGGTATGTTGACGATACGATCCTCAAAGCTTTCGGAGTGCTCTATCCAGTCCAATCCACAATACTCGAGGATATATCTCAATCATCTGAAGTCCAAGTATGTGTGCGAGACGTGCGAGATGTCCAGGTACAACGATACTCCCTCTGAACAATGGGCATGTTCTAATCTATCCGCTCGAGGATATCGATTCCGCAGTGGAGGGTGGGATGACATACCCCGGAAACCTTCAGGACGTCCGAACCAGAGTGATCAAGTGTATTGGCTGGGCTTCCTCCGTTGTCTTGCACAGAACCATTCATCCAAAATGTCAAAGGAAATATCATCGAATTAATAAATATCGATCTTGAATTGACAACTACCATTCCTTAAGAACTCCACTCAATAATCTTATAACTTCTTGGTATCAAAGTGTCGCTTCGCTCTCAGCCCGGAAAAATTGCTTCAACATGCAGCCATCAAATCGTAAATGCATCAACCTGTCAAAATCCCCCTCAGACTTAATTAATGTCTGTCTACCATTATGTTATATCCTTCTCCAAAAAATCCTAGTATCGATAAACAGGCTGTTTCCCAACAGGCACCGAATATCTAGGCTCGTCGTCCTCATCAGCTTCGTCCCTCTCCGGAACCGCAGCATGCATTGTAACATCACCTATGCTACTATCCTGTCTTCCCACGTAGCTCTTTGTTTCCTTGAAACCCGGGTGATATGGTTCGACACCAAGTGTATCATTAAATTGACCAGTTGCTTTTGGTGGCACATCAGAGGGAAATGGTGGTCTGGCAACTCTCGATGAGCTTGGTTCCGGATCACTGAAAGGATTTCGTTCATCTTCTTCATCGTTCATAGGCGCGATATCTCCCGGTGGTGGAATAAGCGGGGCAGATCTCTTACTACTACTCGCGATGGGTTTGGTAGCTTGATTGGGTGGCGGACCAGGGGGAGGTGTAAACCCTGAATCTGTTCTAGCCGGAGGGGTTGTGTTATCTCCATTACCAAGCCCCATGAGTTTGCGCGCATTTAACACAGCTCTTTGATATTGGTTCATAGCTTTACTCAACTGTTCATTAGTCTCAATTAAGGTCTCCATAGTATCGTTGTCTGGTCCTGGATTTTCCGCAATCATATACGCTTGCACACTTCTGCTTGCAGACTGACACCGATCGGCGAATTCGCGGACGAGTTCATTGGCAAGGAGTTCGGAGGGAGGCGTAGATTGTACAACTTGTGAGAGTAGTTTTGCGGAAGTGCGTGCTTCTTCGATGCGGGAGGAGAGTTCACGAGGAGGGGGGAGACGGTGAGTGTGATGATTACGTCCAAAATAGTTTTGATTATCGGGATCAAAGGGTGGAGCGACGAGGGTTCGCGGACCTGCGGGACCCTGAGATGCATTAGAAGGGACTTTCCACTGACGCGGTTGCTTGGGGAAACTTGCTGCGAATTTGGCCATCTTCTCTTGCTCCTTCTTCCACATCTCAAATAGAGGAGCCAGTGTTTCGTCATCTGCCTTGTTTATCGTAAATCCCACCAAAGTTTCCATCAGTATTTGCTTGACACTTGGATCCCTTCCATTTTTGAGGAGCTCCTTCACAGTTTGTACAAATTTCGCATCCATATTCCTCGTAAAGGTCTTCCCAGGGTTATCCGCCAGAATCCGAATCAACATTATTGCATTGTATTGTACGTAGGGTTTGCCGAAGTTGTCCTTGGAAAGAAACTTTCGAATATGGTAGGCGCATTCTTTCGCAGCCCCTGGGGAGGACTCTGCGGCTTCGACGATGGCAGGTAGGTAGAGAACTTCTTCTCCCTGTACGAGTAGAATGTTAGATATATCATGATTTTCTCAATAGACAAGACCAAGAGATTGTTGAACGTACCGAGCCATTTGGACCTCCAGATTCGCAAAATGATCGCTATAATATGATCATCAGTACAGCTCTTCCGGGGTAAAGTGATTACAACATACAATATTTCTTGACGCATTTGCTTCCGGTGTATCGAGTTGCGCATCTCCAGTGTCTTCGTTGGAATCTTTGGCTGTAGCATAGAAAGAAAGTCCATGATTAGTTAAGTCCAAATCGATTCCCTTGCTTCATAGTAGCGCATGAATACCTACAACGCTTAAGTGAACCTAGCATGCGATTCATGCCCATACTCTTCATTGCCTTCATGATTGCGATAAAATGTCTTATGAATTATTTCGCGATACTTTAGGAAGATGTGATGGATAGCGAAGTCTGGTGAATTGCGATAACGATTTTTTATCTTTGTTCTGCAGGAAGTTTCAACTGATAATTTCTGGTACACGATTTGTTTCGTTTCCTTCAAGTTCTGATGTGAATGGATGTATTTGAAGGGCGGGTATTTCTGAAAAGGCGGTAGGTAGATGGCTGACTGACTGACTGACTGACTGAAATCAATCACGGCGTAGTTTTATTTCTTAAATTGGCAGGAAAGGGCCCCTGTGTATCGTTGTATTGTGGTATCGATATCGTGAATTGATTTCCTCGTTGACTGTGATATATTTGAAAGTAAGATACAATATTAATAAAACATTAAAACAGATAACTTCACATATATACATATCATCGCAATCATCAACATGTCGGCAATAGGGCAATAGGGCAATAGGTATTGACTCAGTTTCGTCATCTCGTCGTAACCCCCTCCCTCCCCTTCGATACTTAACTCACAAATCAATCATCGCTGTCGCCAAGGAGCACAGCCAGCACAGCCTTCCCCTCAAAATGGGTGTACGAGTATTGACTCCTGGGTTATCGATGAAACGAGAATGCCCCATCGTATCAATCTTATCCCCAGGATTAGTGATGGTTGAGCCTATCAAGTCTTTGAAACTGATCGCTATATTCCCTATTTTCAGTCTCAAGGCCCTGAATACTCGAGTACTCCAAGTGGAGAGAGCTGAAAGATTAGGATTAGCTTGTAGACGACACGTCAAGAACACGTATGGATGGAGAGGAAGGAACACATCAGCAGAAGAAGTTTGGATGGCTTGTTTGAATTCCTTAATGTACAGTTCCGTCTATGAATCTTACTCTGATAGTTTCGAACAGATGTCACTACTTTAAATTCTAAGTCCGCAATGTGTACTCGGACTCTTCGTGGTTCCATGATGATGATGGATTATCCCTATCAATCTATTTCGAGTTCTTTGGACGAAAGTCTTTTCCAAAGATATTAATGACAAAACTCTCGGGAAATTTAACTATTGAGTTTGTTTAAGAGGTTCTGTTTTAGAAGGTTTGATCATTTAAGAGATTGAATGCTCGAAGTTTATTTAGCTTGACCAAAAGCCAAATTCAAACCTTGGAGTAATACTCCTTGGATCGAAATCTTGATAGTCGATGTAGACACCCTCTGAGAAGTTGCTCTGCGAAAAATTGGCATATATATCCTCTGGAGCTGAGTTGTTATACCCAATGTAGTCCAACTCGTCCTTTGCGACTGTATATGGCAACTTCTGTAGCTTGACAACTGCTAGACCACTGTCTTGGCTAGTCAAATGACCAAAACCCACGGCAGTGACGTTCGGATGGTCAATCTATTAGTTGACCAGGCGTATGCCCACATTGTGAATTGCTACAATCGTATTACCACAATTTGATGCAACGTTGTTCACCAAAGCACAGGGGGATTCGTCTAAAATTGTGAGCTTCATCCTCATGAAATAATGTGCAGGAATTAACTAACCATTGAGGCGGCATTGACGCATTCAGATTTGGATTAACGGCAGGGTCGGGGGGAATATGACTGACCTTCGTTAGAAAGACACACAATTATTAATACAGGGGAACTCGCAGTCCTATACAAAACATCAAATGGAGCAGAAGTATATGGTGGTGTATTTGTACCGCTTCCAACTATTCAAGACGTTAGTTCAACTTGTCAGACTCAGTTCTAGAATATCTTAGTCTTGACCCATTTGATACCAACTGGCCATAACTCTCGTTACCTTTGTAATTCAGTTGCGATTCATCAAGTGATGCATTGGCGACGGCTGCTGTAAAACTTCCACCCCTCGTTCCCCAGAGCTCAGAGCTCGGCATGACAAGATCCATACCAGCCTTCGGGGCCGCATACCCCGTGTGCACTGTACAGTGCTCCCCAGTCACTTCAAAGCCTAGTTCCGTTTTGAGCTTTACTATTTTGGCAAGAATATGAGTCGATTGTGTGAAAAATCACACAGCTGTGCATGAACTACATTGGTAAACGGCCAAAGATACAATTCGTGAATGGTCTTATCGTCAATGTTGGCTGAAATGGCGGCAATGGAACCCGAATGATGTCGGTCATATTCCAGCTTATTGCCAATGAAATGTATACTAGATGCTATATCTTGCTTTTGCAAATATCGGTCAACATCTGAAATGTTGTTTTTAAGAGAGGAACAATTGTTGTGAAAGTTTGTTTCTTACATGAAATAGGGATGATATGACTTTGTGGAAAAGTGGAGGAAATTACATTAAAGTTATGTCACACTCGTTGTATCAATGAGATTTAAGGAATGAAACGGTGAATAAGAAACTCAACGGCTGACTGATGACCTTACGCTTGAGGTCATTTGCCCTATAATAACTTGGAAGATTGAACTGCTGTGAAACGGTAAATATCTCACGACCGAATACGAGGTACGTGAGATGGGCCACACAAGCAAATGTGTCATGATTTGAAGGTAGTCCGTCGAAGATACCCCGATAGCGAGTACTGCACACCTCAAGCATCAAATCAAAGGTCTCGTATGTATTCAACCAAAAGGATATTCCTGACAACTAGCCATGCATGACCAAACTCCACAGTCCATAGCCATCCTAATCATACCTGATTTAGCCACTAGCAACATGTACCTCGACAGTTCCAGTTCCAGTGTTTTGATACTTGATATAAGTAAGATCAAGCTTTCCATCAGCGTTGAAATCAATCAACTGCCAAAATCCGTTTTGTTCCTGTGTGAAAGTAGAACCGACATCCAAAAGTCGAGTCTTGTAACCCGAAGCCCTTGATGCAATGTGAACCTCGGTAGTTCCGGTGCCGGTGTTGACATCCTTGACATAGATCAAATCCCCATTAGCACTGTAGGGCCCAAGCTGCCAGAATCCGTTATTTTCGACCGTGAAGGTAGTACCAGTGCTGATGAGTCTAGTTTGGTAATTGGAAGCACCAGATGCAACAAAAACTTCGTTTGTTCCTGTTCCGGTATTGCTAGTTTTGATGAAAACCAAGTCTGGCTTTCCATCACCATCATAATCATAAACATTCCATTGTCCATCTTGCTCATTTCCGAATGTAGTAACAACTTCAACAGTACGGGTCTTGTATGTTGATGCTCCGCTAGCAATGTGAACTTCTACGTTTCCTGAGGGGGTATTTTGCGTCTTGATATACACTAAATCAGGGAGAGCAGAGTTGAATGATTTGAAAAGACGCCATGTTCCATTGTCTTCCTGGACAAAGGTGGTAGGAACGTCGAGAATTCGAGTCTGGAATTTGGAAGATGAAGAAGCGATGTGAACTTCGACATATCCAGACCCTGTGTTCTTATTCTTGACGTAGGCCAAGTCTGGTTTACCGTCACCGGTGGCGCTGTGGTTTTGTTAACGAGACACAAGACAAGCGGCATGTAGAGAATGGAGGTAGGAATAAATCTCATTGGTTAGTGTGATAAAAGGTTTCACAACGTTGGTAACTCACTCAATTAATTGCCACCATCCATTGTTTTCCTGGGCAAAGGTAGTTCCAGTGTCCAAGATTCGTGTCTGATATGGAGCGCGTTTCTCGAGGGGACTGGGAATGGCAGAGCCAAGCGCAAATGAGGAAAGCAGTGCAAGTTGTTTGAACAACATGATGAGATTGGAGATTGTATGAGAAGAGGTGAGCGAATATAAAGATGTGGACTTGAAGATGGAGTGAGTGATGTTTAGCGACAAGCGACATTTCCCAGACTTTATATTGATTGACTTCCCCATCTATGCAAGTATCTTCCAGGTATGGCAAAATTCCAACGACATATGACACCATAAAAAGAGGCTTGAAGTTAAAGAGCTGAAGATTAACAAATATCCATATTCGAAAGATATTGAAATGCATACTACTTACTACTTTACTAGCATCGTCAAAGGAGGATCGAGTGAGGTATGATGGCTTGCCAAGTCATCGCTGCATCAAAGCATACATGTGCATATGGTGTGACTTTGTGTGTTTATTTTTCACGGTATAACCTAGGATGTATATCAAACTAAATTCCGATTAGAATGAACCATGCTGGTGGTAAAGCTTTGATGGCGACGAGAATTCAAAGTCAAATGATGGTTTTTATACCCCGCTCACTTACTTTGGAGGACAGTTTGACGGTATTTGATGAATGCAGAAGTTTGAGTCTGTACTGCATTCATTGCAATTTCACACAGAAGTATGATTTAACTCCTGAAGCTTGTTGCGAATTATTGGAAACACTTTGAGTAATTGACGAGGCTTTTCATCGCGGGGCAGGTAGTGCCTGCAGTCAAAACTCAATGAGGTTTCAACAGCCTCCTGTAGCATCCTATTAGCTCAAAAATTAAATAGCCACTTGAAGGTCACCGTTGGACGGTTTCCTCGGACCTCCAAGATACAATAAGACAGCGTTACACTCGAAAGCGCTATTATCAAGGAAATGCAATTGATTGACAGCAAAGATAATACGAGGTACATCGCTAGGCGTCCTTCTTCGTCGGATACTACCCAAGTCGAAGACGAACCATATGTTTGCAGCAGAAACCCATGCTTCTCCATCTCCATACAAATGCGGAGAAACCCATGTATTTTCGAAGCCACTTCCACTCTCAAAGGTTCATAACAAGTTTTAACGATGGATCAACTGCAAAAACCCTTCCAAATCAATCCATAACAAAACAGAAGGAGCCAAGAACTCTCGTTTGGGTATTCTGGTGTAATATATTTGCTAATGTAAACGCCATCGAGCCGGTATTATGCGGACCGAAGCGCAGGAACAAGATGTTGGACCCCACTGAGGATCCGATGCAATGCAGATGGAATGAGAAAACGAAAGATTGTGATACGGTGAAGTCGTTAAAGTATTCCATTTTCAGCTCACTCCGCGGATGCATGATACAGTGCAAGAGTGCATACTGTAGCGCGAAGTCGACGAATCCGTTGAAGTGCAGCAAACGCGTTAAACTCATCAACAATGAGGTTAGTTCAACAGTTAGACAATTAGAAGGGCGAATGGGAGAGTGATTCTTCTTCATGAGTCGTTTAGCCCTCGGATATATGACTAGCTATTCGGGGTAAACGTGCGATTAGGATGACGGCGATGTAATACAAATGCAATGCAACGACGACACAACACTAAGCAATACTACTCTTATTCGCGAGTACCAGTACCGGTAATGATAAATGTAACTAGAATATAAATGAAATGCAATGAAACCGTGACATTCGCATGGGTTGGACTTTCATGTTCTCAAAAACACGTTTGGGAATTCAAATAAAAGCACGAGATCGAGTTAAATAGTAATTAATCTTCATACAAATGTATTGAAATGCCATGAGAACGTAGTAGAACGTTGAAAACATTGAGAACATGTATAAGAGAGTAAGGTTGTGTTGCACAGAAGAAGTTCAGATTGTCCTCATTGATAGGATCCACTCACTAAATCACGTGGTCATCGCAACGCTAATTGACTGTATGGAAACTCAACATATTTGACACTGCTCTATACAGAAACATCATTTCAGACGCCTCATAACCTCATATTGCTGTCACCGAAAGTGTACAATGTCTTCCAATAGGGATGCTCTCCATTTCCCCGCGTTTGAACGAGCGCAAATGGACGATTACCTACCATCCAAGACTTCCATTGCAACTGCGGGATTAAATTCACGTCCCCATATAACACTTACATATGCTACCTCTATGGACTCACAAATTACTATAAGTCCGGGGATTGGCTCACCTATCTCCGGCCCGGCCTCAAAGGCAATGACCCATTACCTGAGATCTAGACATGATGCTATATTGATTGGTGTTAACACTGCAATTGCAGATAACCCTAGCTTAAACTGCAGGCTAGAAGGGGTTGGGGGTTATGGGGGAGGGGATTCTCTAGAGGGGCAGCCAAGACCAATTATCGTCGACCCCAAAGGCCGATGGAATTTCGGAAAAAATAATAAGATTTTCGAGTTGGTGAAGCATGGCAAAGGAAAAGCCCCCTGGATCATCACTGCGGAGCGCGAAAATAAAATCTCATTCGAGAAAAGAGAGTTCCTTAATGCAGTAGGTGGGAAGTTCATATTCTTGTCACCGGACGAGGCAGGAAAGTTTTCATGGGATCGTATCCTGCGAGCGCTGTGGGAGGAAGGTGTTGAGAGCATGATGATTGAAGGGGGCGCTGAGATCATTAATGGGGTGCTAGCTGAAGGTCGAGAACTGATAGATGGAGTTATAGTCACAATAGCGCCGGTTTGGCTTGGGAAAGGAGGAGTGGTCGTGAGTCCCGAGAGGGAGAACCAGGAAACGGAGGCAGTGAGACTAAAGGAAGTGAAGTGGGTCCCACTGGGACAGGACGTTGTTTGTTGCGGAAGGGCCCAATAATAAAAAGGTTTTTGGTGTGAAATCAATGACTTGTATTGTACCTGTTAAATGCACAATACCAGTGCCACAGCCCGCCATACTTCCCAAGTCAGAGCAAATGTTGTGGAAGTTATTAATCGTCATGATTGCAGCCTATCAAAGCATTGAGTACCCCAAGCGATCTCTCTTGACTGATACACTCATTATGGTGCCTTTGAGTATATGGAACATTAATTGAATAGAACAAGAAGGTTTATTTCCAAACCGCCAGCAGGTATATTGTTGAGTATGAGCATTCGTAAGTAGTATATAATTTCTCCTAAAGTAGACCTATTGACAAGCTAATACAAACAAACCGATGGCAGTACTTACTACATTTTCCCTGTATGACTCCAGATCCCCTTATACCTTATGATGCCATATATTAAAGCGTTCCACAACGTTCATAGCTCATATAGTTAGGTAGCTAAATTTCCGTCAATCATGATTTTCCTCCACCTTTGGTTTAGCGAGATGTCTTCCCGTCTTTGGCACCATGGTCCAGTCATCAATGACTTCCTTACTTGATACCCTGTCGAACCTTGACGTTTGTTCTTCGTCCCCTTCATAATGTCTTTTCACATCCAAGAAATCGCTCGGCCTCTTTGGCACAAATTTGAAATCATCAGGCCCTAAAACTAGCGGCTTGCGTTCAGGAAACACCTCCCTCGTCTGCCCATAAACGCTTTTGATATTCTTCACATCCATCAACCCTACAATCTTCAACGCCGTTTCCATAATCCTATTCGTTTCATCCTGATTCGGCGTCGATTCAGATAGGAGGCTCAATTCCAAACGTGAACCACCTGCTTTTCCGGCCTCGATACTCGTGCAGCATACTTCGTGGTTTTCGAAATCAAAAGTTACTGATTTTTTATATTCGAGCTTGAAAAACAAATACTCGACATCCACACCCACTTTCGGGTTTTTCACCATACGTTTCCAGCCATCTTCGGTGCATAGATGTTTAGCGAGAGGCAAAACCAGCTTTGGCGGTGTTTCCAATTGTTGGTCACTTCTTAGGTCTAGCTGACAATTTTCGACGAATTCCTTCACAGCGAATGCAGCGGGTTTCAAACCACCAAGCCCAGTATTTTGTTTAGAGGCTTCAGATAACATCTTTGAGCGAATCTTCCTCTCGAATTGCAGGTCTGCCTTAAGTTCAGGAAGCATCAGATCCGCGGTCTCGGTGGAAACGACAGCATGAATTTCATGAAAATCTACCTTGTAGGATGTTGGATCGATTGCAAAAGACATCTCTATCGGGGGAAAGTCATTGAAAGCGGAAGTCCCAATTGGCTCGCCGTTTGGACAGAGAGCCCACGGATTAGGTTTGAATAGCATAACAAGTTCTTGTTTTGGTTTGCCAGGTGCCTTGTTGTCGCTATGATCCAATTGAAAAATTCCTGACAGATTTGGCGCTTGGGAGGAGAATATTCGAGATGATCCATTACGCATTTCGGTATTCAGCTTATTCATATTCAAAGTTTTATCGGGAGATATTGTGGCAAAGCCAGTTGCAGGTTCTTTTTTATCGTCGAGCTGTATGCCGATTCGGTGGCTACTGATATTATGTAAAACAGTTCCGGCTTTAATCCAGGTGGTCGGTGAATACTGATGAGACCATAAAGATTCGGCTCCTTGAAGGTCGGAATCTTCTTGGGGTGCTCCAAGAAGTTTCAAATCCACGGTTTGGAAAGGAAACGTGTGCTGGAAATTTTCAGGTAAGTGATTCTCGTTTGTAGATTTAGGAGTAGCCGTAGTCCATCTACTCCATGTACGAAGCTTTTCTTGCCAAGAAAGCTCACGCGATCCTGGATATCGAACAAAACCCCCGGGAAGATCAATTTCGGGAGAAGACTCATCGAACGCTCGCAATCCAGTTTTCCTGGATTGGTATTTATTTTCATCGAAGCGAGCTAGATCCAGTAATAAACGTCTCACGACGTCAATCCGTTTTGACAAGTTGGATTTAGAGTCGGGAACCATGGACGAAATCATGACCTGCAGCTCGTCAGTATTTTATAGTAGGGAACAGAGTCATGAGCACTAACGACTGGCTCCTCTTGTGGCAGTCTTCTGATATCCGTTCTCGTCAATTCACCAAGTTTAGTCAACACTTCCGAAGTAAGGGTCCTGGTCTCCCAACCCCTTCTGTAATGATGAATGCATAATTCCTTCAGCTGTACTTCCTCCCGGCTGATGCTTCGAATTCCATCCTGAATTTCGGCGATAATAAGGGCAGACTTTTCTCGACTCGATGTGATACGTAGAACGTGACGGGGTCGAAATATTTCAATCTTTTCGGGCTCGTTCAGATAATATCGCTTCATCATAGATTCTAGGTATTCTTGACCTACAATCACTCTCCATCAGCTGGATTGTAGAAAAAAAACAAAAGACTGTTACGTACTAACTAAGAGGTCTAAATCCTGCAAATAGACTTGGACCTCGACTTCACCTATCCCCTCAACAAGTTCTGGCACTTCCAGTCGCCAGCATTCTCTCATAATTCTTGCCGCAAGATTTTGCTTAGCATTGTAGGATGATGGAGAATATCCCCGCAAGGGGCTGCTATGAATTGGCTGACTTATCGGAGAAATTTCTGGCACCCAAGGACTGGCTCGCACGATTGCTATCTTGTCGAATAGAATTCCGAATCCAAGAGACGGAACTTTCTTCATCCTCTTTTGGGCCGTATACGAATTAATATACTTCCTCAGCTGAGATGCTGTGAAACCGGCTTGCAATGATTGCACTACTTCGTTGAAATCCTTCCATGTCTGTAGCTTGCCCGTCTGAGGATTAAACGCATTAATGTTCGTTTCGACGTCTTCCGAAGAGACAATCCCTCTCTCGCTTTCGATCCTGGCCAATATGTCAATACTCTCGGGTGCCGCGCCTTCCTGAATGTCCTTAACCTTCTCTTTGTAGAATTTCATCTTCGAATCCCGCAAGACGAGAACTTCAGCGCTCTTCCCCAACGTATCCATGCCCGGTAATGTCACACTATTTCCGACTTGTTTGGTTCCGGTGTGGCCATAGAATTTTGGTTGACATCCTTCGAAATTCTTGACGCCCCGACTCGATGTTGCGCTCCGACTCGATGTTGCGCTTTGCATCATACCAAGTCTTCTGACCGATATTTCGTTGTTGTGCCGTTCTGGTTGCAAGTCCCCGGGTCTTGTTGTATCTACCTCCCTTTCGTTGGAGGAGTATCCTGTCTCTCCATTGCTATCCTGCTGACCTTTGACGTGTTGCGATTGACCATTTGATGTTTCTGACCCATTGCGTTCATAATCTGCTGCGAACTCGGTCGAATACACTCTCTGTCTTGAGGATGAAAGAGGTCGTTGCCCTAGTCGTATTTGACATCTTAAGCATATATGCGCCGCAGATATATGTCGGCGAATCATGTATGCGATTGAAAATACGTCGAGGTAAAATTGTAGTTGCCTTCTTGAAGTTTATGGAAATCTTCATACTTTTTTGAGGATCGGGGAAGTCGGCCGCATTATCGCCGATCTATTTTCCGGTCAAACAAACACGGCTGGGTCGCGTCTCCCCCAGGTTCAAGTCAACTTCCCCAGCTTCTCATCAGAGAAGGCATAATACAATAAATTATAACCACTCAAAATCACAACGCAGACATTAAATTCTCGAGAGTTTGTCCATGTTAATCCAATATGCCTTCCAATTCCCGAAGAGGTGGACGCCAAGTGGTAAGTTTTACCCCCTCCTTTCCCCAATAACCCTTGCGCTGTCAAACTAATTTATCCCAGCAAATTAGAGAAGATGAAGAATCCGAAGAAGAAAGACCTCGGAATAACCAGCGTCGCCGTCGCGCAGCACCAGAGTCTGAAGAAGAAGAAGAAGAAGAAGAAGACGATGGTGAGGATGAGGATGATGCCGCAGGCGATGGTAGGGACTTGGATAGAGAAGACTCTTTAGATCAAGCCGTGAAAAAATTGGTCAGATATGCTTTGGCGTGCGAATTCCAAAGATTACCAATTACGAGGACCGGTATTAAGGAGAAGGTTCTCGGGGCACAATCAAGAACTTTCAGATCTATATTTGAACCAGCACAAGACTCGTTGAGAATTACATTTGGCATGGAAATGGTTGAACTTCCTGTCAAAGAAAATGTTACTATCAAAGGACGATTAAGTCAGTGAACTCCAAACGTCTCTGTGGTCCTAACTAACTAAAATGCAATTCAGAGGAGGCTAGCAAAAAATCAAAAACCACGACAACCTCTTCATATATTCTTACAAGTATTCTTCCTATCGAGTACAGATCGCCCTCAATCATCCAACCTTCGAAAGTGGTTAGTCAGTGGGATGAAGCTACATATATCGGTTTTTACACGACGGTAGTTTCTGTGATAATGTTAAGTCCCGACGCTACGATGACCGACAGCAAACTCATGTCAGTTCTCAGAAAGTTAAATGCGGATTCAAATATGCCCATGGATAAAACGACTCTGATCTTCAAAAAGATGATGCAACAAAATTATATCATCCGGACTGTCGAAAAGAACGATGGAGATGAGGTTATCGAATGGAGAGTAGGGCCTCGTGGAAAAATGGAGATTGGTACGAAAGGTGTGCAAGGGCTTGTCAAAGAAGTGTATGGCGAGAATGCTCCCGAAGATCTCGACAAGCGGTTAGATCGTAGCTTAGGGCTAGGGAAGAGGAAGGCAGCACATTTAGAAGGTGGAGGAGGGGTGGAGGCGCCTGAACAAAATGGGGGATCAAGCTCTAGGAGAGTTTCGAGACGAGGAAGACCACGAAGAGAAGCGGATGACGAGGACGAGGATGAGGATGATGAGTAATCAGCCAATGCAATTAAAATAAGAGATGGTTTTTGGTTATTGATCGGGCTGGCCGGGGTGTTAGGTTGTGGAAATAAGTTATGGATTTATGGATATGGGGGGACTGTAAAATGTAACATATAGTGAACATCTTGGGCCAGGAGTTTTTAAAATACTGGAGTAAACCAACCTGGTTCAACTCTTCAATTTCATTAGATACCCTGCACGTTGGTCAACGGAGCCAATTGTCAATTCAGTCAATGCATATGGAGATATATTTGCACAAGCAACATCATATGAAGCTGCCTGTAAATCACAACCCACGGGTGACCTCCAATTTCCCCCCAAGGAATGTAAATAAGGTACCCATTCTATACCACGCTCCTCTCCAAATTTGAGCCCATGCTGTTGCGTCTAGCACAGGCGAAAAGTTCAACGCGTAAAACACGGTGGAATCACGATCTTGCCACATGAAAAACCTGTGGTTGGACTGTCATAACTTAGGGGACTTGGGGGAAATCGACTTCGGGGGGGGGATAAGGATGCGATTCGGGGAAAATGGATTATTGCGAATGCCGTACTCGATGTCGGCTTTCTTAAAGTACAAGCGATAGCTCCTAGAGTTTGTTCTTATCCTCATCCCCTAACAACTCTACATGATATTAATCAATCCCAGTGCCCATTATATGTTTGCGCCATAAACACCAATTTTGTGACGTCTCGTGTACAGAATGTCCACCAATCATTCCCTCCGACTTGTCATGTCATCCCATCACACCTCTGGTCGCATACCCGTCACTGACAATTGTATGCGGCAGCTTCGTTTCGTTTTCCCATGTCCCCTACACAAATCCCATCCTAATGATATTCGCCTAATCCTGCACCTCGGGCGGTTTCCCAACAGGTTGAATCATTTTCTATTTGGAATCAGTCTTAACATCTTTGCTTTAATCTTCCCATATCCAGAGAAATCCCAAATGCGAGTTCAAACCACAAAAAAAAAAGGAACAGAGTACACACCTCGATCATATTCTTCCTAACAATCTCCCTCGGACTACCCATTCCAATCGCCATATAACTCAACAACGGTGGATGACCCACGTACGACGCATACGAATCTCTCTGGATATTACTCGTCCATTCGAATCTTGTTGTATCAGCGTGTCCCGTACCAACATAACGCTGCTGAAGCTGTTCGAGCTGTTGCTGGGCGCGAAGTTTGTCCGCCTAAACACAAGAACATATTAGCGAGTTTTTTGGAGGCAAGATGATTATTTGATCTTGATATGTATAAGATCGCATTCCCATGGTGATCAAAATAATATGACTAGGTTGAAAAGATGCTCACCATTTTGATTCGTCTTTGGTTGAAAGATCTTTCTGTAGAAGATAATCTATATCCGTTAAAGGCTTGAACTCCAAGAGATAAGATATGGATGTTCGCGGCCGGCCCGTCTTTCATCCAGTGGCCGCTAGCGTAAGTGATTGTGGTTCCTTTACATTTTGTTGCAAGCTTGATTGATTGTCTGTCAGTCAATATAATCTTACTTATTAATTGAAATTGGCATTCTGATAGAGTTGATGATTTGGTTTCTGGTCTCTAGGTCTCTAGGTCTCTAGTTTGACTTGAATATCGAGGAGGATCAGAGATAATTGGTCATGGAGTAAGTATACGTACTCACGTGACTACGCGTTTCCTAACCCATATTACAGGAGCACCTCGTTTGAGTTAAGACCGCAAGGTCAAGTACCAATATATCCTCTCACATTGGGTGAACGGCTTGCACATGCGGATAATTATCGTATCGATCATGAAAATCTAGAGAAGACTCGTGAAAGTATTCGGAAGTTTTACCGTAGCGTCTATGCATCACAACACACCGGTGACCATAAGACTTGCGAGAGATGTATTGGAATAAATCGTCAAATGCGCAAAGCTTATGAGGATTGGTATCTTTCAGAAGAGCCGAATCGCTGGTACTCCAAACTTTTTGACTATAAGGAAGAATTACAGTCGATGTTTAAAAAACCTGAAATCTACAGTCTCGCCGATATCCACAAGAGAGCAGACCAGGAGCTCCGGGCGCATCTGAAGAAAGATATTTGTGCACACAGACCAGGCGATAGCGAAGACGTTGCTGAGTTCAAGGACCGTACTGCAATGGAACTGGACGAAGGGAGAGATATCTCAAAAGTTCTGACGGCTTACCTGACTGACCAAATCAAGTGGTGCCCACTGTCTGATCGAGTAGACTTTGTCCTTCGCCTCAACGACACTACATCTAATGAAGAACGGATTCCAATTTACATCGCTTATTACTGTAGTCCGTTAGAATCGGATTCCACTAGCATACGGAACTTCAAAAACAAATATGCGCGTATATTTGAAAGTGGCGTTCCCCACGATGAGGTTGTTGCCGCCATGAAGAAAGAGGGTGCTCGTTCGAAGGAAACCGAAATGGCACATCTCCAACACCGTCTGAATGAGCTCAACCTCGCACAATCTGCTCACCTCAAGGCAAAAGCAAAGAAAGCCGAGAAAGATTCCCTCAAATACCAACATTATCAGGAGGTAGTAAAGCAGAGTAAAGCACTTTGTGCCTATGATGGCTGTGATGAAGACGTGGACTTGACCGTACCCAACGGGGCAATACAGTGTGTTTTATGCGATTGGATTGCTTCAAAAGTTCCAGAAGACAGAGATCATAAAAGACACTACTATTGCTGTCCTGATCATGCGCTTTTGGATCATGAAGTACACGATAACGCAAATCACTACTGTCTGAGTGCCCATTGGAAAGATCGTTGTCTTACGGACTTAGGCGCCGGTGAAAATGAAGGCTATGATGGAATGGGGTTGTGTAAAGTCTGCTTGATAAGTGGACACAAGGCTCTCTTCTGCTCCCAGGAGTGTTACGAGAAGAACTACAATCAACATGCTGCGGAGTGGCACACGGATGAGAATGCACAGAACTCGCTAGAGGTTTTCAGGATGCCGGATGATTTAATAATCGAGGATGTTGTTGATGATCCTGGAATAGAGAGTGGCGAGGTGGAGGATACGGAGATGCAGGGCATCTAGGTATCAAAAGTCAAACCGACTTTGATGTATTATAGGGTTGAGTTGAACAGAATGAAGACATATCTTAATCTTTGAGCTGGTTCTTGAGTCTTGACATTTAGTCAATGTCGTTATACCCCACGAAATATGCATTATCTATATGAGGTTCAATTTCTTAGCGAATGCCGCTCAAAGTGTTCGGAACAGAATCTTACAATATCTGGTAAGTCACCAGGTAGGCAGATATGTTCAGGATGTCTTTTTTCCTTGTGTAATAACAGTTTTTTACTTTTTCACTGATAATTGAGGTAGTGACGATGTCGTTTCGAGTCCTTGATTTCTCTTCACTAAGGTTGTCTAACAGAAATCCATCAATTTGTAGATGAACAGCACGTCAAACCACGATGTGGCAATCAAAATTGAGGTTGAGATCGAAGATTTGGCTCATGAGTTTGGCATTTTCGAATCGGAACGGTCTAACTTTGATTTGAAACTGTTGATATCCTTACTCTTCCCAAGTGGTTCTGTAAGGTATCCCCACGTATTTGTTATTCGGTGGAAAATTAAAGCATGTTTGTATCTGATCAAATGATCAAATGCGACAGATAAAAAGAGCTATATGAAAATTAGATTCTTGGCGGAAAGCCGCGCGAATACTACGAAAGGCAGTCCGGTATAACCAACTGCCAGTGCTTTTGACAACAAAGAGGTAGCTTTCGTCATTGGCAATCAATATGATCTCACAGTCAATATGTTTGCTGCGACTGTTTGTATCATCGCCAATCTAACCTGTGTCTGTTAGTTTGTGGACTTTGGAGTAGCATACCAGAATTTCACGATAGACCCATCCCGGAGTTATTTCCCATAGAGCAGATCCCATCGCTAATTAAGCAGGAGGTTGATAAAAAAGCTAGTCGTTAGATGAAGTGGTGCAATCTTCCAGATTCCAGACAAGGAGAATTCATGTACTGTACAGATCTCTCTTACCGAGCTTTTATCTTTGATACCTTTTAATCGTTTCAACATGTTTAATGCAAACCCGTCAAACTCAAAACTCATGCTTCATAAACTCTAGTCTCAGGTTATATCGTCCTGAGAGTGATAGTATTTGTATATTTACAGATCGGTACACCTTTCACCTCGTTTAAGAAGTATCCCCAAATAACTTGCCTCACAATCTTCGGCATTATATTACAAGGTCCTCACTCTATCCAACTCATTTCGGTTCTCGATAAGATCCCACCTTCACAACTCCCTTCCAGATCACTTTCTCACGACCTGGACTGGCTAATCATCAATGACAGTTTACACAACCATGAGTGTACTCATTTCCCTCTCTTCATTTGCCTTGATTTTCCAGTTTAGGTCTTGATCAACCTCTGGGGTACGACCCTCCGACTTGAGGCTAACAGGAACGCATGCAACTATCCGGCTTCCACCTTTTAACGTGAAGCCCTGGGGGCATTGGATAAGTTTGTTGGAATTGAGAGATCGTCTCGACAGATGTGATTCCTATAGCGTGGAATGATTGTCAGTACCTTCGTCGGGTGAGTAAGTAGTATTGTATAGTTACTTACAATTTGGATATTGTCACTGTAAGTGATAATGTTACCACCGGATGTAGGAGGTCTCTTAGACTAGACAGTACTTTGCGTGAGCAGCTTGCAAATGGGTATAGGTGGAGACAGTATCATTCGGATTCAGTCCATGGCAAAAACATCAAAATAGTCAAGTTACCTACTGAAACAGGCATTGCGATAACGACTCCAACAGCTATCAAACCAATAATGAAGATAGGAAGAGGGTACATCTTTGTGTGTGGACGTGGAGAGTCGGTGAAATCGTCGATTGAAACTACTCGCCAGTAAACGACAGTGCTATGTGTAGGATAATAGCCAAGTGGAAGTAGCAATGAATGGAACAAGACAGCGCCAGTGCGGGGTCTAAGTTGATTTATAACACTACCTCAGGAATAGAATGCCGAAACGTGGTAACCATGAGGAGGAACATTGCTTCATTCGTCTTCCCAAAACTATACATCCGAGTTGACATCGGGAGTGCCATTGTCAAGTAACGTGGTTCAGCCTTTATGTTTGTGTCTTGTACCATCAAATGAGACATCAGACGAAAAAACCCCATGCGTTGTTGCACAAATGATACGCTAATGCATAAGATTCATGACTTTGTAGTTCAAGGGAACTGCAGAAAGATGTCTGAGGTTACAAACTAAGAGATATAGAATTAACAGTATATGATTCCTAACCTTCGGGTGTTACCCTTAAGCTAATGGCCCATTGAGAACTGTCACGGTATGATATATGTGGCGTAATATTACAGTACAAAATCTTTCAAATCCCGGCGAAGTCAGAGAGTAATCAAAACCTCATACCTCCCAAATAATACAAACATTGTGCGGCCTTCATCTATGGTAACTACTTCTATAGTATCGGGAGTTCACTTGACCCAAAATTAGAGGACTCTAGATGCGTAGAGTAAAGTAGAGAACGTACCTGATTCATCCTGAACGGCAAGGCTTACCTATGGAAGACGATAATAACACCACTCTATGACACTATCAAGAGATATTCACTGACGGTGGAAGGCCTGTTTTTATCATCAATAACCACTTTCCAGTGACCATATACAACGACACTAAGCTACTCACCATGACTGAGTATGCAGAGCCTCATCACACTATCAATCATAGTCACACAACCCACGAACTCATTCCAGAGTCTAACTTCCCCGACCCCAATTTTCAGCCCGGATCGATCGGCGACCTCCTCACCGGTAGCATATGGAAACAATATCTCGGTAAATCTCCGACACTGTAAGTTTGTTATACCTTTCATCATCTTAAGGTGAGCGGGTATATAGCAAATTTTGAATGGAGCTTTAGCGCCACGAGAATTCCCATCATATGCTAGCACCCATTACAAAAAGTTTCATAAGTACAGCGTGTAACATAAAGGGAAAGTGACATTGAGGCAGCTCCTCTCACGCTCTATATTTTGACTCAGCTTTTTCTTTCTATTGGTACGAGGGATTTCGGTTATTTTGATTACATTCCGACGCGCCTGATTGTCGTTTGTCATTAGTTATTGTCGTATATTGTCAGTAATTCTGGCTAAGTGTCAGTTAGTCATGAAGAATTCTGTGAAACAAAAGCACTATATTACCCATCTTCTCAGTTATTCGTCATATTTGGGTACTTTTGGTTCACTAATATGTAGTTGTTCTCCATTAAATGTGGCTGTTCCGCTTGATTCATCTACCATCATCTCTTCAGTGTATCAGCACTGCTTGGCTTCAATTCTCTATACCCTCGGGCTTATATAACTTAATCCCGTGATCTTTCAGCTAGTATCATGAGTATCAGACACGACTCAACCGGAACGAAATATGACATCCTTCTACCTGCAATACTGGATCAATCAACCGCAAGATCAATTAGTTATGAAAGGAATCTCTGGCACAAAATTTTCGACTCAAAGTTCATCCAAATTTTGTCCTCAGTCATCACCGGGGCTGAAGGAGTGAAGGAATGACTTAAACAGTATGTAATTGGGAATGAGCCAACTTCCCCACTTCAACCAAGGGACTTGCATTTGAGATGATGTGGTAGGATCCAACTACCTTCCTGGATTTATCGCATCTGTTGTCATTTAGAATTTCTTGCTGAATTCATGTTTTATGGGTATTATTTGCTGTATCTACTCTTGCAGTTATGAGAGATTAGGAAATCTAACTACCAGCACAAATAATTATTCCACATGTATGTCAGCACCCAGTATATCCAATAGTCTTGCAGTCTTCCGTCTAGGCAGCTAGTCTATGATTTAATTGGACTACATGGACTATGGAGTGAATTTCAAATAAAACAGATGGCTCAGCCAGTCTAAAATCTAAAAGTCCAAACTGGCATCTGGACTTTTAATCTAGTTAAGACTTTACATATAATGAAGATCTTGATTATCTAACATTGTAATGAAGATGTACTATTAAACTAGTCTAGCTCGTCTAGACTGCAATCCGATTAATCTAAATTCGAAACATCAATGGACTAGCTAGTCTACCTTTTAATTAGACTGCTCGCTCGACTAGCCATGCGAAAAAACCTAGCACGTCCTGCGATCCGGATTATTATATACACTGCCCGGTAGCACCTACTACGCCGATTCTTCGACTCTTCCCTCATCCTTGACTTATTTGATAACAATGGAAATCCATTCATAGAAAACGATCATTTGCATATTTATATTCAAGTTTTCCTCCATAAATACTACTCCCCTTCCCTTCCCCCCTCCCCCTTTAACGATTTCCTATAAATAATCCAAAGCTATTAATTCCAAGTAACGAGTGTCTATCTATCAGAATTATATATCTCACTCCTTTTGCTATTGTCTTACTCATATAACCTCGTATGAATATGTTCTCCAAACTACTCGAGTACTCGGTATATAAACCTATACTTTTTCTCCCCCCCCTCAACCTCTTTACTAGTAGCATATTTAGTATTTACCGATAGATCCAATTCAATCTTATGTTATAAGAGATGAGGGGTCAGAGATCGGTGAGAACTACCTGCAAACACTTTGGGTGATCTCGTATTATTACGGTATTTATAATACTAGTATTGTATTAATATAATGAACTACAGTAGAGTAATGTTTTATATAACTAAATATATAGAAAGACTTTTATCATTATTATTAAAGATACTTACTGATTTCACCAGTATAAGGAGGTCTTTATAACTATTAGAAAGAATATATAATAAACTGATATTATTTATTATATAGAGTGATCAATTAGTCAGTTAATTAGTTATTAACTAACTTTCGATTCCTAATTAATTCGCTAAAAACGTATTAGCATCGCTACTGAGTCGCTAGATTCGTCAATTCACTCTTTATTAGTTAATAGCTGATATATAATCTTTGTTTTATAATGATAATAATAATAAAAAGATCTCCTTTACCTTTTCTTCTATTTTCCCCCTCATCCCCTTCAACCTCACCCCTCAAAACAAAATCCTCACCAACACCACACTGCACTCCACTGCACCACACCACACTATACTATACTATACTATACTATACTACACTCCACGCATCACCTCACTTTATCATTACCTCACCTCACCTCACCATTACCTTATATATTTCACCTATCTACTCATATATATCACCCATCTATCCATCAAATCATTTCCTTATAATATCATCTATTCATTCTTTAAACACATAACTTATCACATAACTCCTCCCACAACACATAATTCATCAGTCATCACATACTCATCACTCATACTCATAACACATAATTCAACTCATCACTTATCATTCATCTCATCCTCCCATTCATTTAATCAACCTCTTGAATAAATTATCTTATGCTCAATTATATCATCCATCCATTCATCCATCCATCTCTCCATGAATTAATTCCTCCCAATATCTACATCTACCATACAAGTCCACAAGTTACTCTTCATCCCATCCCATCCATTCATCACCCACTCATCCATTCATATCACCGCATCTCTTTTCAATCCATTTCAATTCGTTTCAGTCATTTCGAATGTCATCTTTCTTTTCTTCACTCTTTCACTCTTTTCTTCTTTCTTTCTTTCGATTCATATCTTCATATCTTTAAATCTTCTGAACTTGACAATTCGTTGCCTAGTATCCCTCAAACCTCAAACCTCAAACCTCATGCCATGCCATGCCATGCCATGCCTCAGAAAGAGAAAAGAGATCGGAAGATAGTGTAAGTTTCGTTTCGTAAGAGAAAAATAGACAAAGAAGGGTTTTCAAATGTACAATCGAAAGTTTATAGAGTAAAAGGTTTGATGGCTGAATCTACCCCAAGTTGGCCTTTCATTTCAAAATGGCAATTGCAATCGCAATCATAATGGTGCCCAAAACTCCATTTCATGCCTTTCCATGCCTTTTCATCCTATATCATGTCATATCATGTCATCTCATTTCCTTCACTTGTCCACTCGCTGCTTGCTTCTCAACTTCTCAACTTGGGTTTGGTATAGGAGTAACCGTATCCAACGGCGCCTTGTGTAGCGCAGGTTGCGCATGCGTACCCATCAAACCATTGGCCTTCCTCTCAATCGCATTCCTAACCCATTTCGCAACTTCAGAATCTTCCGTTCCTGTCAAGATACCATTGGATTTATCTTGTGATTGATCCTGGAGACTTAAGCTAGACAAATCGACATTGTCTTCGTCTTCATCCTCATCCTCCTCAGATATCGTGCTAGGTTTTGTAAGTTCAGAAAGCCAGGGGTGTTGGAGTAAATCTCCATATGTAGGTCGCATCTTTGGGATCTTGTTGAGACATCCGCGAACAAAGTTGCGAGCGACTGGGGAGAAGCCTTCTGCTGGAAGGTCTGGTGGTTCACCGTCGACGATTGCCTTTTTTTCATGATTAGCTTGTGACCTTTCAAACCTAAAGGAACAAAGCATAAAAACTTACACTCAATTGTGAGAAGATATTATTATATGTCTCAGGCGGGTATGGGTATCTTCCCATCGCACACTCAATAACACTTAATCCCAAGGACCAAATATCACTTTGTACACTATACGTTCCACCTCCTGGATTTGCACCAGCCTGAGAAATCCCTCCACCAGATATTCTCTCTGGTGCCATATATGACTGACAACCAATATTTGTCTTTGCAATACTAGCCACTAAGTTTCCCGATACTCCGAAATCGCAGATTTTGACCTGTCCATTGGTGTTTACGAGGATATTGGTTGGCTTGACGTCTCGATGAATAATGTTGTGTTCGTCTTTGAGAGTCTTTAAACCTTGAGTCGTGGCATATGTGATTTTCCTTAGGACATTTTCAGGAATACCATCACCATAGATTTTATCGATCGATCCACCATCCATGAATTCTATACAGATGTAAACTGCACCTTCTTGGAAAAATGCTCCGTAAAAGTCGATGATATAGGGGCTCAGACATCTATGAAGGACATCCAATTCCATGATAATGGCAGCGAATTTGGCTTCGTCAAGTTCCAGGCGAAGTTCCTTCATTGCCATTACCACACCAGTTGTATCTCCAATTGGTTTGACCTCGGCATCATCGGTATCCAGTGAAGGAGAGGATTTATTTCCTGCGAGACCCAATCCTGGCATCCGCATTCGTGGTCTTGCGTGTCGAACTTTGTAAACAGTACCGTAATTACCTTTACCCAGTTCTTCCAGAGTATCAACTTCATCCAACGATATACTGAAATTAGTTCCATTCGCAAAATCGATACCATTTCCATGAATGACTGCTTTTCCTGCAAACTTCAAGGTTCCACTCTTAGTATCAACATATTTTGAAAATTGGCTGAACATAGAACCACCATTTGAAGCATCCGGTGCACCATTTGTTTCCGAAGCTGGTGTAGCTGGAGCTGGAGGTAAACCACCAGGTAATTTCATTCCTCTTCTTGCACTCAACCCACCACCCATTTTCATTGGAATAACCGGGGCAGAAGCAACACTTTGTGGTGAAGGACGCACATTCGGTGGTGATTGTAATCCTCCAGGCAAGCCATCGATAATAGGTGGACCTGGATCTCCTGGTGTTGAGACTGTCGAAGATGTCTGTGACCGTGGAGAAGGTGTTCCTTGTCTTGATGCGTGAAATGCTTTCATTTTTTCTGCCATCGAAGTAGGTAAACCGCCACCAGTTTGTCTTCCTACTTGTGAAGATCTGGCCCCCGGTACCAAGGGACCGGGTCTTGGTCTTCTCGCGTTCGCTAACATGCCCAGAGGTGTGGAAGATGCTGTCATCGTGGCTAATCCATCAGGATCCGATACAGTTCGAAGAGATGGTAGGAAGGGGGGTTTCGAAGAAGTAGCTGAGGTGGGAGCTACATTCGTTTGATCATCTCCTAATAATTCGGTCGTAAGAGGGGTATCTTTGATAGCGAAATCGATTGCATCGCCCGGAGGACCCATCGAATCTAACTGAGGATTATCTGCCATGATTTAAATAGAGTGTATGTTCGCATGAGAGGTGTGTTATGGTTCGCAGAGTAGGAATCTCCCGGTTGATGTTCTAGAATAGAATGTGTTAGTTGGCAAAGAGAATATTTGAAGAGAGAAATGGGGATTGGAGGAAATATCATTACTTTATGGTTGAAATTAATGTCCGAATACCGTAGAATGCCGTTGGCCTTAACAATTGTCGCCGTTTGGGTTGTGGAGAACTGCGTGAGTCTTGATAATCAATCGATAGAGAATGAGGGTGCAATCTAACACTAGACGATAGAACTGAGACCGACCGGCTCTTGGGATCTCCTTGGGATCTCCTTGTGATTTCCTTTCGTTCTATAGGTGATAAGATTAGTGAGCCGGAGAGCCGCAGATCTGCCAGAATGCTTGCGGAATGATTTGAGTCTTTTTTTTATTCAAGGAAAGACAAGAGAAGAAAAGAGGGTAGATTTTGGGCAATTCGAGGCGAGAAATGAAGCTACTGAGTGGTGGTGTAGTTCATTTGATGGAACATCGAATGTTAGATGCGACGGTTCCTCTTTTTCCGCTTTTTCCTCTTCTCCTCTACTTTTCTTTGCTGAGTCTTTCACTTTGATTCGCTGAAGGGTTTGTTTATGATAGTGGTATCGGTACTCGAGTACAAGAGGATGAATTGAAACTTGAGGACTTTTGAGTTGGGTGCCTTGGATGAGATGTTCTTGGGACTAAACTTAGATGAGGATGAGGGGGATGGATGGAGGATGGGATGAGGGATATGATATTCAATAGAATCCGAGATTGTAAGGATGAATTGATAGAGTTTTAGGACATTTAGGTAAGAGGGAAGAAGGTATGTATGAGAGAAGGTAAGTAGGTAGTGAAGGGGTTATAAATTGATTTGTTGTCGTTCAAAAATATCTTGATGTTTGTTTCCGTAAAAGACCTAGGTAGGACAAAAAATAATTTTAACACTACTCGTCCAGTTTTTACTATCTTTGGAAACTTTTTCAACAATGGGGAATGGGGAATGGGGATGGGGATGTGGTTCCTTTCGGCCCCCGTTGATCTTCTCGAGTTCAAGAATACCTTGACTTTGATTTCTTATTATTTGCATTGTAACGATACTGGTGCTGGTCAACTATGAGAACGAAAAGACTGGTATTGTGATATTGTATGTGGCATATATGGCATATATGGCATTGATTGGTAGAGCATGGGATTCTCGTTAGAAAAGTAGGTCAAACATTAAATTGAAGGGGGAGAAGGGGGAGGGATATTGAAGTACGATGACGTTATAGTGAAAAAATATGGAGAAGAAAATGAAGAAAAAAATTAATTTAATTTATATGGAGGGGCTTGGTTGTTGTCAGAACGAGGGGGACAGGGAGGAGGGGAGAGAAGGGTGGGAAATCGTGGGATGGGGGGATGGGGGAATGTTTTTTAAAAGGAAAGTAACGGTGAAGTGCCACAGTGGCTTTTATTGTGGCTTTATATTGATTGGTTAAGGAGTGCGAGGTGGACAACTCCAATCGGATAATAATATCCAAATCAGCCCCCCCCCTACTTACCGGTAGCCTTACTGTAACAATTTCAAATTCAAGCCGCCGCCACATACGAAAGGAAAACCTGCTACAAAATATGGATTGTTGGGTACAGTCGACAAGTACCGGTTATCTCTCTCCGATATGATTTTGCTCGGTTAGATAACCATAACCATAACCATAACCGTGAATTGTCACTATGGAGTTATCTTACTATATGAGTCAAGTCAAGTTCAGTCAAGTCAATAGTCAATCAGATCTGCAAAGGCCCAACTCCCAACAACTCACACTCAAATCATACCCAAATTATACCCAAAACATGCCCCAATAATACCCAAATCATATTCCATCATCGTCGGTGCATAACTTATATTTACGGCAAAGACCGAAGTTTGTCACGAAAACGAGGCTGAGGCTAAGGCTGATAACCCCTAGTAATTCTAACTTAACTAAACCCAATCCGAGATTCCGCATCAAAGTCAATTAATTCTCATCAAATTTGAGATCAATATCAATTGATAGGATTTTAAAGTTTGTCGACATACATGCCTACAACATCAATCTTTCGAAATCCTATATACATATAATATAATAACAGTATATGACGCTTCGCTGGCCCTCCGGGGGCCACTGCCGTGGAGGCCGACTAGGTATTCTCTTAGAAATCCAGATCCAAATTTTAATCAGTATAAACCTTCGAGCGCAGCGAACTATGGGGGTTTGGGGGCTTGCCCCCTTGATAATGACAATATACTAGTAGATCATGATACTTATACTTCTGAGATAGTACAACGGGTGAATACATACCGGTCTAATTCTTTTGTACTCGTTTCTCCTATCCTTTCCTTTCCTTTCCATCTTTGTCAAGGATCTTCTCATCAATCTGAATATCTTATGATAAATCAACTTTTCCATGATAATAATTGAAAAGATGTCATATCCATTTATGAGGTGGCATGGCATGGGTGATCTGAATGCTTCATGCAAGTCAACGTCAGATTCAGATAACCGACAAAGAAATAGAAATAATCGTGGGTGATGATGAGGCTTGCAATTGGAAAAATCATGTAGAAGAGAAAATTCCTTGTCATTGTTGTGGCTTGATGTGGCTTGATGTGGCGATGGCTTGATTTGTTATCGATCTTATCGGCAGAAGTGAGTGATAGGTACCTACCTACCTATAATATGATACAGAAATGTAGGGATAGTATCGTCCATGAGATATTGTATACGGGAACTGAGTAACGTAAATTGAGTTGGATTTCGATCATCAATGAAGAGAAAGATCACCGCCTATCCCCTCCCTCCCAATTGATATCAATTGAAGCAACAATTGTATCATGTGTTACATACCAAGGAAAATGATAAGAATAACAGGAAGCATTTCTCTTCTTTTGTTACACCTTATATAACCATTTGTTGCATCAATTCCTGGGCATCAACATCAACATCAATATTAACATCTCAATGGCCAAGATAGCAAAGTAATTATCAACTCAGGAGTACTATTAAATCCTTATACGAAAGATACGATAATGAAATTATATCTCCGGACACGACATCGAGGTATATTATCGTCTTGGCCCGAATACCGAGAAGTAGATGATATTGTCACAATGTACCGCATACAGTCTGCATGAAGCCTTATTGTGTATCGTGAAGTGAATGATGAGAAGGAAGGTATATATGAGAGTTAAAATGACTGTGAGGATTATTAACTGTGAGTAAAGATTGAATGAGTCTTTTCAATCTTTCAGTTCAATTTCACTCATTTATTCTCTATACTCAGCTCAGCCTACCACAACTTAATTCCAAAACTACACCAACTTTATATACTTCCAATCAACTTCTTTGTTTGCCCTCGTGCTCTTCTGTTCTTGTCCTACTTCACATCAAATCCTCAACATCGAAGCTTATTACTCGATTACAGTGTGGTGTACAGTTCTGAAGAACCTCACATCATCACACAATCCCTTATCTCCCATCCATTATTTTAACCTCTTCAACATTCATTCGTCACTGTTGCTGTCCACGCGGCGCAGAACGAGATTATCCAAATTCAGTGGCTGAGAACGGGATCAACCCCTACAACAGGTATTGTATCCAGAACACGTTCTTTTACCAAGGTACAGCGCCATTCTTGGCCTTATCGTAATCAAAATTCAGGTCCCAGAGACAAAAAAGTTGGACCAACCGTCAAGTTTGCCCAGGCCTTACACAGCCGCAGCACGGGACAAATCATTCCTCATTCGATAGCTTGAACCTTCTGGGGGGGGGGAGTAGGGGGAAAGCAAAACAGAAAGCTGATCGCACATCATCCAAATATTGGATTGATCTTCATCAAAAGCACTTCAAACCCTAATTCGGGACATCGAAACATCACAAACTTCCTCAAGACTATTTGAAACCTCAATTGTCAAAGAGGACGAAAGTGCCTCGAATACAAGAACCCATAACTAACCTCATAACCAACCTCATAACCAACCTCATAAACTTCAACTAATTTATATCGCAAACTCGCAAACTTTGGATTGATCACTCAACTCTCAATCAAAATCATCATGGGATTCTTAACATCACCTACCTCCTTTCGACTTGCTAATCTAGGTACTGACAACGATGTCGGCGCATCTTCTATCTCAACACGATCACTCACAGATGTCGCATTTGTTACCATGGTAAACGACCACTCTTCACATCCTGCCATCGGTCATCTCATCCTTTTAGTTTTCGAAGCTGTGCTGGAAGTCGTATGTGTTAGTTTGCCGGGTTATATTGTGGCACGACTTGGAATGTTCGATGCGGATAAACAGAAGTTTGTCGCAAATTTGAATGTTGCTCTCTTTACACCTTGTCTGAGTGAGTTACCTCGGGAGATAAACAGATGAACAGAAGGACGTAGATGCTAACGAATTGGGTAGTTTTCACGAAATTGGCATCTCAATTGACAGCGGATAAATTGGTCGAACTTGCAGTCATACCAGTGATTTTCATTGTACAAACATTGGTATCATATTTGGTTTCGGTTGGAGTTGGCAAAGCATTTGGTTTTGGAAAAAGACCCGCAAACTTTGTCACTGCCATGGGAGTGAGTTATTCGAGCCTGTTGATCAAAGAAAATTGCTAATGGTCTTTGATAGGTATTCGGAAATTCGAACTCTCTACCTATTTCTCTCGTCATCTCGTTGTCGCAAACATTGAAAGGTTTACATTGGGACAAAATACCTGGGGACAATGACGACGAAGTTGGTGCAAGAGGTATCTTATATCTACTCATCTTCCAGCAATTGGGACAACTCGTTCGTTGGAGCTGGGGTTATCATGTGTTACTTGCACCACCCGAGACATATAACAATGAAGAAGCAGGTCGATATACAGATGAAGCTGTTTTAATCCCTGGATTGGACGGTGACGAGGACTCGGATGACCATGCTGGATCGTCGGCAAATTCATCTCAATTCGGTGGTAGAACACCTGTTACCCATGCTCTACATGACAATTCCGATGAAGAAGAGCCCGCGAAGGTACCAGGTATCATGGCCACACCTACGAATGGAAATCATCTACCAGGAAATAGCGGCGATATTACTTCATTCCCAAGGATTCGAACACCACCATCGGAGGAAGAGAATGAAATTCCAGATGGAATCAAAGGTTGGATCCCTCGCGCAAAATTTCACACTAAACGAACTGTCGCCAAAGCATCTCACCATACCTATCATTCTTTACCAACTCCGGCTCAAACACTTCTTACCAAAGTTTCAAATGCTACTAATAGGTTCTTGAATGGTTTATGGGAATTCATGAATCCTCCTCTCTGGGCCATGCTTCTCGCTGTCATCGTCGCATCTATTCCAAAACTTCAATATCTCTTCTTTGCCGAGGGTTCCTTCATCGCCAACTCGGTTACACGCGCCGTATCTCAATCCGGTGGTGTCGCTGTTCCTCTCATCTTAGTCGTACTTGGCGCAAACCTCGCTCGAAACACCCTTCCTCAACATGTCCTTGACGAGAACTCTGAAGAAAATAAAATTGGCACCAAACTTCTCGTCGCCTCCTTGATCTCCAGAATGTTACTACCGACATTGATCATGGCCCCATTGCTAGCTCTCACCGCAAAATATGTCCCCGTGAGCATATTGGACGATCCTATCTTTGTTATTGTGTGCTTCTTATTGACTGGTGCACCGAGTGCATTGCAATTGGCGCAAATCTGTCAAATCAATGGAGTTTATGAGGGGGTCATGAGTAAGTTGCTTTTCCAAAGTTATGTTATTTGGATTTTACCAAGTACATTGATATTGGTCATGTGTGCGTTGGAGGTTGTGGAGTGGGCTGCTTAAGCTGGGATGGATGAGTGTGGAAGGGTATTTGTGTTTTTGTTTGTTTTGGTGCGCTTAAAGAAAGGGTCAAGGGGAAGGTTAGGGGTTAGGCGAAGATGAGGAGGAGGTAGAATGACTTTGTTTGCTAGTGGACGGAAACAAAAAAAAACCTAAAGTGTACATGATAATCATAATGGGCTTTGACTTGGGCTTGGACTTGGACTTGGACTTGGACTCGGTCGAATCGAAAATGTATATTGATTAGGTAGGTGGATGAAAGGATGGATTAGCGTGGCGTTTTGGCACTTGATTTGATTTGATTTGATTTGCTAGCAGCGATGTATTTTCATGGACAGAGGGGTTTTGTGAAAATTTAAATGGGGAGGATGCAGGTGAGGTTGGGAAGGGGGAAGGGAGACGTATACGATACTATGTGTTTAGGAAGGAGGGAGGAGGAAGGGAAAGATGAGGAAGATTATACCATGAGATGAGAGATGAGGCAGATGCAGATGCAGATGCAGATGCAGATTGAGGATAATTATATATCGTAGATAGATATCATACATTTGTTTATTTATTTATCTATTTATCTATTTATCTCATGGTTTGATTTTGTAAGTGGATGAGTACTAGTTATATTGTTTATTGTATGATTTATTGCGTGATGATACGGGTATGATGATATGTTATGATTTTTATGCTATAAGTATGGATTTGGTGAACTATTAGGGCTTAGGTGGATAGGTGTTTGGGAGAGGAGGGGGGAGGAATAAGGGAGAGGGAGGGGAGGGGAGGGAGGGGAGGGGAGGGAGGGGGGAGGGTGAGAATTAAAGGAGTGGGGGGAGTGAGGGCGAGGGCGAGCGTATTGAGGGGAGTGTAGGAGAGGGGAGTGTAGGAGAGGGGGGTGAGGGTGAGGATTAAGGGAGTAAGAGGGAGGGAGGGAGTGAGTAGAGGAATATGTTTTTACATTGGAGAACGGAGGGTGGGAAGGGAGAAGTGGGAGATGTGGGAGAAGTGGGAGAAGTGGGAGAAGTGGGAGGGGAGAGAGGGGAGAGAGTAGGCTGCGCAACGGGTACCCGCGGGCCGGATTATTGGCCTGGCGGGTCCCCCGCGGGTCCTCCGTTTGCGGGGCGGATAGTAGAAAAATCTGAATGGGGACCCGTTGGGTATCCGCTGCGAATACTCCGCAAATACTCCGCAAATATAAATTTTATAATATTTATAATATTAGTATAATAGTAGTATAATTATAAAAATATATTAGTTTTTATATCAATATTATAAAAATTAATAAATTTGCAGAGTATTTGCGGGGCGGATAATTTTGAAAGCTCAACGGGTCCCCCGCGGGGCGGAGTATTTCTGCGCAGCCTAGGAGAGAGGGTCGGGGTGAGGGCGGGGGTGATGATATTAAGAATAAGGATTGAGAGGAGTGTAGGAGAGGGGAATGAGGGGAGAGAGTGTAAAGAGAGGGGTCTATCTGCTAGTGGTGGTTTCAAGTTAATCCTTTGGGTTTGGATTTAGGTTTAGGAGTGAGATAAAAGGGGGGAGAGGAGGGGGGTTATGAATGAGTAATAGAGTGTATACATTTCACTAAATACATATATAAATAAATAAATTGTTAGATAGTATTTGTATATATTATTATTAGTTTATAAATATAGCTAGCTAGCCATCTTAGTATATATATCCTTACTAGTACGTATTCATATATTGTATATTGTGAAACTAACTGACTAATTATATTATATATAGGGTTTGAATTTTTTGATATTTTGATGTTTTGATTCTTGTTGAGATTATAGTAGTAGTACTCGAGTATACTAGTATACGAGTAGCAGCCTGAGTGGTTAGCTCTAGACTAATTAATATTAGGGTTATATAATTCATTTGTATTGCTATAGTATATTTCAAGTCAGAATATATTATATCTAGGATTTATATCGATAGATGGGAAGAAAATACTAGATAATAATAATAATAGTATACCAGTAACAAAAATTAATCCAAATATTGCAAGTCAAGAGATGAAAGGTGATGAGAAAGATAAGGGCAATAACAATTATATATTATTGAATAGTGAGATACTTTGAACATCTTCTGATATCCATTGATATATACTAATGAATTTCAGATAGGAGATGATCTACTAGAGAAATTTCTTATTCATATGAATCTTCGATACCTTGGGAACAATCCACTTGGAAATACTCCGTGGACAATTCGCTAAGCTATAATTACAAGTAGTCTAAGAAGAAAATACAAGTGTTGATACTCGAGTAGAGAGATTTATATCAATCTAGGAATCCGATGTATATTATCATTTGTTCAATAGGTCTTTCAAAGGACCGACCCTCTTATGATAAGATTGGGTTTATACTCTACACTTTATCGAATTTTGCGAGGCTGTCTAGACTAGATCAAGAATTATAATGACTTTTATTGATTCCCCTGATATATACTCGAGTATATAACATTCAATGCTAAATAGTTATATATCGAGAGTTGAATGAGGGTAGTTGGGATAAAATCTTTTGGGTTCAAGTTCGCTCCGGTCTGTCGTCTGTTGGGAAAAGCGAGGAGTATTAGACTAAGAAGTTGAATGGTTCAAGTTCTCATTTCGATGATGAAGATATGTAATTTACGGAAAAATCGGCAGGAAAGGAAATTGAAATGTAATCGATTTATTCATTAATATTTCGAAATTTGATGAGATTTATAATAATTAGAGAATGAACTTGAATATAAGATATATCGTAGAAAGATAAAAGTAGGAATTCGGTAATGAGAGTTATAAGCGATGATAATAGTATAATTGCTAGTTTATTACTTTAAATTCTCTTGTACGCAATGATAGTATAGATATAGTAGTAGACAAATTGATTCGCTTAAATCTATTCTTGTATTTTCTCTAAGAAGCTGTTTATAGATCTACTAATATAACAAAAAAGGCTTTTAATTTAGTATATAATCTTATATATATATTACATTATGATTTTGATTGATACGCTTAAGAGCTTTTAGAATATACTCGAGTATAATCCGAGTCGTTATTAGAGTGAGCTTTATATTAAGCTAGAAATTATTGGAATTATCGATGGAAATAGTTAAAATAACTTGAATAGTAGTAGTAGTAGTTAGAAGTAGTAGTTAATAGTAGTAGTATAAGGAGAATACTTACTAGTTATATGTAAGATATAATCTACTTCGAGCTTTTTATAGTATTATTATTGTTATTATTATTAAATATAAACTAGCTTCTATCTATTGATTACAAAAAAAGAAAAAAGAAAACTACTTTATAGATTATAATCTACTAGTACTAATAGTGGAGTAAAGGAATCTAAACTTCTAAAATAACAATATAGAAATATATTTTTCTATTTAACATTTCTCCAATTGAAAAGTCTTCTTACTAAGTCAACTACCCTACTTTCGGGCCACC